GGCTAATGGAAAATCTCTCAGCAACTCAGACACCTAACAAGATGATCAACAAACTAGCAGCTATTTGTTGCAAATGCATTATTTGATAGAGTAGGTGCCAGTTTGCTCATGGTTCTAAATATTAAACCCATTTGATTCATTCATTTGTCATAGTAACATTGTTAATAATATCTATCCCCGCCCCCAATTTTTAGGAGGGGAAATTAGAGAAAGGTAAACAGTTTATCATTAGTCAAAGCAACCCTATCTTAAACCTCAGCTCTGGTTAAACTTTTAGCATGGCACTTGTCCTTACTCAGGCTTTCAGTAAATATAGTTTTCAGTGAAAAGTCATTCCAGGAGAAACGATAAACATAAATCGCCCAATAACAACAGTCAGGTTCATGAAGAGTTTCTGTGCCCAATGCTGTGATTAGAAAAAAAATCAACTGCCCAAACTCCAGTTTAACTTTTAGTTTTAACAATTCCTAAGGTACATATTGTTTCCATTTAGTGAAGACTGGGATGTGGAAATAGCTAACACCTTTACCATAGACACGTTGAACAAATGGTTTGCAAGGATTCAAGTTCAGTAAGGCTTGATGCTTCCTATAGGAAATCAGTAAAGACAGGCTCTGAGGAGATGCGGGGACCATGATTATTCTAAGCTACACATAGATTATTTTCTTTTCTAACAGAGCCAGCTATCAATGAATACTTGTTAGTTGAATGATATTGTGAGATATTTGATCTCACTGAGAAACTCCAAGAGTGTGTTAATAAAATTAACCTTGGATCAGGAGGCAAAGCCAGGGACTAGTTGACAAAAATTAGCCATAGAGAGTACAGAGGACCAGGGAGATGGATAGAGAGATGCACAGGAAGTAGTAGGGAGAGACTTAGAGATTTGAGGTCTTTTTTGGTCTGGGACCTGTGGAGAGATGCACTTGCTGGGTCTCAGATAAAAAAAGGGTAGGTCAGCTGGTCGCTCCTCTCACCATCTCTTTGATCCAACAGGTTTCACCCCAATATCTGACTCCCAAGTCTTTATTGGTAATAGAACAACTTAGATAAAAACAACAAAATGATATACCTGTTTGAACAGATAAATTCAAGGTGCGGATTACCTGTGAAGAGAATTCCCTGATGATAAAAACCCTTAAAGGACACTGAATTAAACCAACTAATAACTCCAGCTTCTAATGCAGCATGTTTAAGTGTTATTTGTCATTACAATATTTTCACTGTTGAGCACATCACATGAAGAAATCATTTATTAAAATGAATTCCAAGCTGAAGGTAAGGACACAATGTGAGAAAGCTACATAAAGCAGCCCATGCTGAACTGTGGCAAGATGGGCTGAGCATGGGTTGCCAGTGTGGGGAGCAGATGATGTGAACAAATGATCCTCCCAAGCAAGAAGAGTGGGTTTAATAGAAATTACCAAGAACTTTCTACAATTTCCACAGTCACTTGCAATAATGAAATGCTGTCATCTAACACACACATTTTTGAAGCCCCAGTATTTTATAAATAACCCAGGCTTGCCTTTGGACATTTGAACATTACTCCAGCCTTAGCCTCCTGGGAGCTTAGAATACAGGGATACCACTATGCCTAGTTTCAATTCACAATTCAACCAATTTTTTTTCAGTAATCAAATAGAAATCAATATATTGAAGTCATAAGAGAATTTGAACAAATAACTTTTGTTATAATCCCATCTTGCTCCAGAAAAAATATTTATTGTGTGATTTTAGTAATTTTCAATATTATTTACCTTATCATTTCATAATCCTTATCATAAATCATTTTACATGTTAAAGTTAAAATTTTAAATTTAAATAATGTTATTAACTTCAGTCACTCCCATAAAATTAATTCATGATTAGGCTACTGATATGACTTATCTGTTTAGTTTTGTTATTGTTTACAGCCATAAAATATATAGCCTCAACATTTAAGCTACAAATAAGAAACTTTCTTTGAATTATAGTGAAATTTTTATCTTGTAAAAATCAATCTATAATCAATATTTTAAAAACTCCGTATAAATCACATACTTGATAATCCAAAAACTATCTTCTGTAAAAAGTACTTTGTATCAGAGAAGGACCAAGGCCTAAACTTTTTTTATATTTTGTGCTGGATAGTTTATATCAACTTGACATAGGCTCAAGTCATCTGAGAGGAGGGCATTTCAATTAAGAAAATACCTTTATAAGACCAGACTGTAGCAGGGCTTGTAGAATATTTTCTTAACTAGTGATTGATGTGGTGGGGCTAAATCCCTTGTGGGTGGAGACACCTCTGGGATGGTGGTCTTGAGTTCTATAAGAAAGCAGGCTGAGCAAGTAATGAGGAACAAGCCAATAATTACTCTATGTCCTCTGCATCAGCACTTGCCTCTAGGTTCCTGCCCTGCTGGAATTCCTGTCCTGACTTCCTCCAATGATGGACAGATGTGGAAGCATAGTCAAATAAACCTTTTCCTCTCTACTTTGCTTTTGGTCATGGTGTTTCGTTATAGAAATGGCAACCCTAACCAAGACACATTTGTTTGTTTATTTTGTGTGTGTGTTGGGAGGTATGTGCAGGCAGCACAGAGAAATACATAAATCACATATAGAGCTTGAAGAACAACTTGTGAGGGTTGGTTCTCTCCTTTGACTGCGTGTGTTTCGGGTTGTCAGGCTTCCCAGCCAGTGCCTTTCCCTGCAGAGCCATCTCTCCAGCATGGCGGAGCCCTTTTAACACATTTCATTGTTGGGCAAGGTGCAAGGAAAAATGGGAAACACCACCACTTGTGACTTTTCAAACAAAGCAGGAATCTTTGTTTCCATGGGAAGATTACATATTAGAGATCATCTCTTCCAGGACAGAGAGGCTGGAAACTAGATGATATCTCTAGGAAAGTTCTAGACCTATGAATTTTACTTCAGAAGCTTACTAGAACTTCATTATAGCATTTATTAAAATTAAAACATCTTCTGAAATATGGTCTGTAAACAAATTTTACAGCACAAATATTTTGACCCTGTTCCCAGTAGGGCTTGATTCTTTGTATGTTGTCTTAGTTGGATGATTGTGCTTCATGATATTAAGTGAACTTTACTTTGGGGCTGTGAGATAAGATCAGAAATCTATCCTGTGAGGGATACTGTGAACTGATTAATAGAATTTTGAAGTGCTGTCACTAAAAGTCTTCTCAGGCACAAACTTGACAGGAACCTCCTTCTACTTGATAGCCCTCTTTCAAACTCTGTCTTACTCAAAGTAAAGATCTATTGGGTTTTAGTCGAACTGCAAATCCTACAATTGTGTGCGTGTATACATATGTATGTATAGAGTCTTTCGTGCAATTGTTTTTCTTGCTACAAACATGTAGTAAAAGCATCAATGGATTTCACAGTACCTACTTCAAGGCCTTCTTATCTGTGTTACTGTGAGAGGCTTGTGACAGAAAAGCTACCTAAGAATTCTCAGTGAGGTGTCAAGCAAATGAAAGCCATACTGACATTCCACAGACAGACACAATTATCTTTATTTCATTCAATTCAGTCTTTAGCATTAATGATGATAAGAATAAAGTATGTGAGTGGAAGCAGTTAAGGATTTTACCATCTATCAAGGTTTAAGATGAATAAAGGACTTATTTTGTGAAATGTTTGTTTTCATTTCGGGACCTAGTTTTACATCTGTTTCTTAGGCCAGAAGCTTGTAAATGGCTCACAGTGTTCATGAATATTCTATTTTCTGACAAAGACTTCACTGACACGAGTGAAGAGCTTTGGCCCTGCATTAAGTACATATTCGAATCCACCTTCTGCTTACACATGCATGAAGTCAAAAAGAGCTTCTTTTAGAGGCAAGCAATGCATTTACTGTTGTATGGTTGCTAAGACAACTGTTGGCAAAATACATCCTGTAAATGTTTGGGACTATGTATTAACTCATACATTCCCTGTACCCTACACAGCTGTGAAGCATCCTAGAAGCAAAGACAGATCTGGGCAACTGGATGAATACAATAGAAATCAACATATATAAGTCACTCTAGAGGGTATGAGAATTTCCTTCCCTCAGCTTAAATGCTCTGAGCTCGGTAGGGAGAATGTTATGATCGAGACTGTTTACAGCAGAGAAAACTGAGGCTACAGCATTATTCCGTCATTTACCCAAGCATGTAATGATAATGAAAGGAAGAACCAGTTCAAACCTATGTGTCATCTAGAGGCCAGAATCTAGTCATTGGCTCCTTTCTTACATCCATACTATTTCATGACATAATCTGGGTGCCAACAAACAGGTAGCAACATCAGGCATTCTAAGGGTTCACATTATTCAGTTGGTGATATTTAACTCTGTCTTATTCTATAATAGCCCTGTGAAGTTTTGGAGAGCTTATGGCCTAATTTTCAATCTCTTTGGAACCGCCAATAATTGTCAGAGGCAGAGGTCTGTTCATTCACCAGTTGGATGTTAAAGTTTTGGGAGACCCAATCTCAGGGAATGGGAAGAGAGAACTGCATGTCAAGGGCAAGAGAGAGCTTATCCATGCTTTGAGCTTGTCCAAGTTTTCATTTTCATCAGTTGAGTAGCGATCACTAATTATCTTTTTTCCTATCTTCAAGCAAACACAACAGTCTTCTTTATGACAACATCTAGTATTTTGAATGAAGTAGATATTCTCAAACAACATAAGTGGGAAATGTCACTTTCCTGCTTAGGATTTGTCAATATGTAAACATACTATTTAAAACAGCAGTTCCTACTATAGCAACATCGCCTGCTTACTTTAGATGTGTAAAACTGGAAGATACCTGAAATACTAACTGTAACCCAAACTTTCAATATCTGAAAACAGTGTGTGGATCAGATAAAATAGTTTCTTCTTTCTCACTAACTTCCATATACTTAGAAATCATTTCTATAGTTTTTTTTACTATTTTTCAATTTAAGAAATTTTTTTTTTCTTCATTCACATCAATGAAATTTTGCCCACATGAAAGTCACATACCTTTATTACGTGATGCTTTTCCTGGAATGCAGGAATCTTAAACATTTGGCACCAGTATGTTGTGCCTTTATTTGGAATGGGGACCTGTCTTAAGAAGAAGGAGAAGAAAATAAAAAGTCACATTCAGTTGACATGGCATTAAATTTTTTTTTGTTATCTTATCTTTTTTTTTTTTTTTTTTTAACAGAGCTGAGGACCGAACCCAGGGACTTGCACTTGCTAGGCAAGCGCTCTACCACTGAGCTAAATCCCCAACCCCCGACATGGCATTAAATTTAATAACATGAGCAAATAGTCTTTTACAAACTTCCAGTTAACTCATCTCTTTGTTTAAAAAGAGAAGAGGAAAGAAATAAGGAAAGAAGAAACTTACGTCTTGATTTACCAGATCAAAGTATGGGGAGGCTGCAGACAACACATTGGCTTTCTCTGGGTTCAGCAACCGCAGACTCCTTGTGCCTCGATTTGAGTCATGGTACTTGGGACCAGATTCTCCAGGATCTTCATGGTGGTAGGCCCAGATAACTCTCACTGTGCTGTCCTGGTAATCAGACATAGGTACATTATGTCTCATAAGGGTACTTTCCTTGCCGTTGAGTTATGTTTAAATGACTCTACTTAAAGCAGTGTATAAGAATGAAGAAATGAGAATAAAGATATTTAAAGTATCCAAAGAGTTGATTCTAATCTCTCCTGAAGAACCCTAAAATGATCTAATTCTAGCCAAACTAATCAAAATAAAAAGCAAGAATATTCAAATTAATAAAATTGGAGATTAAGAGGGGGAATGTTATCAAAATATAATCCAGAAACTCAGTAGAGAACCCCTTGAAAACTGATATTAATAAAATGGAAAAAAATAGAAGAAATGATAAATTTCTAGATATACATGTGTTATGTAGAAATTTCCTCTTGAATAAAATCTTCCATCTTTGAAGGACACTCACTAATCTACAGGATGTTATAAAGTGAGGTGAAACATTCTGTCCTGGAAGTAACTTCCTTAAACACGAAAAGTAAACAATTCAAGAGCTTCAGGAAGTCCCTGAAATTGACCAGATACTCTAAGCTCCTCCTTCCCCAAGTGTATATGAGCACTAAGGACTTCTGAGAGACACACTCAGACAAATGGAGGCTCTGAGAATACTTTCTAACCAGCTGAGCTATTTAAAAGATTCAGACAAGCTGAACTATCTAGAATAGGCTCAGTTCCCATCTGCCCATATACCCGAAAGAAGTAGAGAGCAGTTGAGCTACTTAGAAGATAGAGTCCAGCCTGTCCAGCTGCCTGCAAGTTGTACAGTGTGCCCCAGGTTTCCAGCTTTCATAAGCTGTGACCCATGCTGAGGCGAGCTTTTAGTAATGCAGCTACCTGAGCATCCTCTCACCCATCCTCCTGTTAGTAATCCCAAGCCTGACTTTGGTACTATCTTTACTTTGATTTGTTACTCATTTCTTATCAGGGCGAGTAGATGTTTGTTCATGTCTACCCATGAATATGTTACAACCACATAACCTACCCAAGTTAAACTAAGAGGATATAAACAACTTAAACAGGTGTGTAACAATCAACAAGACTGAAATGGTAATACAAAGTCTCACAACCAAGAAAAGTTTATGACTAGATGAAGTCCCTGCCAAATTCTACCAAATCAATTTCAACATGAATACATAGGCAAAAATTCTTGTTAAAATACTAGCAAACCAAACTCAAGAGCATAATAAAAAGATCATACTCCATGACTAACTTTATCTCATTTCAGGGTTGTGAGGTTGGCTCAATATACACGTCAGTAAATATAATACAGCACTTAGACTTAAGAAATCACCTAATGATGTCAACAAATTCAGTATAGGCCTTCTAAAAGGTTCAGTATTCCTTCATGATAAAAGTCCTGAAGAGACCAGGAATAGAAGGAACTATCTCAACAAAATAAAGACCATATATGACAAAACTGTTACCAAGTACAGAATATAGTGGAAATCTAAGAATATGTTCTCTAAAGTTAAGAATGAGATAAGGGTGCTTCTCAACTTTTATTCACTATGGTAATTGAAATCTTTTTTTTGTTGTTGTTGTTTTTGTTTTTGGTTTTGGTTTTTTCGAGACAGGGTTTCTCTGTGTAGCTTTGCGCCTTTCCTGGAGCTCACTTGGTAGTCCAGGCTGGCCTTGAACTCACAGAGATCCGCCTGCCTCTGCCTCCCAAGTGCTGGGATTAAAGGCGTGCGCCACCACGCCCGGCTAGAATTCTTATACTACTAAGAAAAGAGGAGGAAATAGTTATACAAATAAGAGAGAAAAAAGTCAACTTACTGCAATTTGCTATTGACATGATCCTACATCTTAAAGACCCTAAAGATTCCACCAGGAAATTCTTATACCTGATAAACACATGGGGTAAAATAGCAAGATATAAAATTCATTTACAAAAATCAATAGCTTTTATATAGATCAATAATAAACTTGTTCAGTATGAAATTAAGGAAAATATCATTTGCATGACTTCAAACCAATAAAATGCCTAGGAATAACACTAAACAAGGACGTGGAAGAGCTCTACAATCAAAACTTTAAGACACTGAAGAAAGAAAATGAAGAAGTCCCTAGAAGATGGAAAGATCTTCCATACTCATGGGTTGGCAGAATTACTATGAAGCAGACATGTAGGTCAATAGAATACGATAGAGGGCCTAGAAATAAATCCAGGAAGCTACTGACAGCTACTTTTCAACAAAGCACACCTTGAAGAAGAGACAGTGTCTTCAATAAACAGTTCTGGAGAAACTGGATTTCCACATGAAGAAAAAGAAAGCTAATATTTTACCTGAACAAAAATTGACCCAAAATGGATCAAATAGACTTTAATGTAAGACCTGAAGCTTTGAAACTACTAAGTGAAAACACAAGTAAAACACTTCAAGAAGTAGACATAGGTTAGAACTGTTTTTAAATAGAACTAGAAATAATCCCAAGAGTTGAGAAACGGGAGGACGGACAGTATCTGGACATCAAAAGAAACACTCACCAGGGTAAAGAGACAGCCTGACTACAGCATGGAATATGTCTTTCCCAACAGCTCGACAGAAAGGAGAATATTATCTATGGTACATGAGGAACTACAAAAATTAGTTAGCAAAATTCCAAATCATCCAGTCAACAAATGGGCTATTGGACAGAATAATATATTCTCAAAATAAAGACAAATGACCAATAAATATAAACAAGTGCTTTAAATCCTTTGCCATTAGAAAAATTTCAAATTAAGCTTCGAGATCTTTTGGGTTTGTTTGGCAACCCTTTGGGTAACAAATCAACTAAATGAGATCCAGTCCTGGTAATGAAGGTTTCACTTGGTGGCATAAAATGTCTGCTTGAGCTTTTATCGCCCACTGTTTGGTACCTCCATTTCTGCTTCTTTGCTAGATGTATATATTTTCAGAAGCTTCTACAGTAGCAGGTTTCCATATTGTCCCTTAAATGGCTCTTAAAGCCAGTTGTCTTTCTCCATATTCCCTTCCTCACCCCTCTCTTCTCCTCCTTTTAGTCTTGAGATTCCATTTTTTCCTCAGTCAGAATAGCCATTGCCAAGAAAACAAATGACAACAAATTCAGGTGATTGTGTGGGAAAATTCACCCTTAATTCACTGCTGCTGGGAGTGTAATCATGTGCAATCACTATAGAAATTAATGTGGCATTTCTGCAAAAAGTGAAAAATACAAGCATATAATCCAGCTATTCCACTTCCGGACATATCCCAAAGGACTCCATATCCTACTACAGAGATACTTGTCTATCCATGCTCATTTCTAGTCTACTATTCAAAATAGTTAGAAGATGAAATCATCTTAGATGTCTATCAACTGCTGGACGGATAATGAAAATGTAGTACATCCAGATAATGGAACAGTGATATTTTAAGGAAAATGGATCCAGCTGAAAATCACCATGGTAAACAAAATAAGCCAGACTCAGAAAGCATCTGTATGTCTTCTTTTTTAAATGAACCTAGAGTTTAAATCATATGTATGAGTGAATTTATGTCTGTGTGTGTGTTGGTAGGTCCTGAAATTAGAATGGGGATCATGAGAGAGCTAGAAGAGATCTCCAAGAAGAGAGAAAGACAGACAAGAAAGTGGGGGAAAAAACTATCATGAGAAAGAAAGGAACCAGCCAGAAAGATCTGGAGGCACAGAGAGGGCAGTGGGGGAGGGGAGCAAGTAAAACAAAGTAGAATGGCCTGTTTGTATGAAAATGCTAGAATGAAGTCCACTACTTTGTAGGCTAACTTAAAAATATTTTAAAAATAAAAAATACTGTTTTAAAAAACATTAAATTACTCTAAGACTGGTTCCCCCCCCCACACACACACACACTACAGATTTTGCTCTAGGCATTAACTCAATTATGGACTTACAGAAGAAGGCAGTTCTGTGTCTGGGCTTGTTTATTTTATAACTCAAAGCTGTACTCAGTATAGGAATACTGGGAATTTCCAAGGGGAAGTGAGCGAAACTGGCTTTGACTGAGCCACAGAGGGAGACTGCCTGAGGGGCTGTGGGATGGGAGAGGTTTGCAGGAGTATAGGAAAAAAAAAAATGACTGAATCCTTCTACAGATAAGGGTGTTTGGCCAGCTCCTTGGAATAAGAACTCTGAGAATAAATGATTTAGAAGAGCTACTTGTGTTGAATGTTCCCTTGGCTCTGTTCTTTGTGTGGCCGATGACGACAGCAGTATTCCAACTGAATTATTATTGTACTGTGTGCTCCACGAAAAGTGATGCTGGTCTGTTCGTGCGTGCTCTTCCTCCTTCACGCCTTAGGCTGAAGGGTAATCAGAATGACTTCAGACTTTTTACATTCTCTTTTTTGAAGCTTTAGTGGGTTGAATAAAAAGGACAATTTTATTGGTCTATACAAAAACGAAATGGTAAAAAGCAAATATGGAAAGCGCCACAGGAGTGTATTTCCTCTAAATATTTAATTTGCATATTCATGAAGATAATTTTGTGTGAAATCTGAAAATAAGAAACCTCGTATAACATGCCAATAGGTGATTATAATCAACTGACTATTCATCTGGATTTCAGAAATTTACAAAGCCACATCGGTTACAAATCAGATGAATTACACCCTCATATTCAGCATTATGACTGTCTTTTTTGTAATACAGTTCTTTAGACCTTTATTATTTATTTTCAAATTTTATAGGGAAAAAGCTAAGATGTGCTTTTATTATTTTTTTAAATCAAGTGACTTAAACGAGAGCTTCAAATGTTAAATTTGCATACAAATGCCTTCAATGAAATTTAAGGTTTTAAAACTGTGGGAGTTTACAAAGAAGAGTTTTAAATATTCCCAAGGGTTGTGTGACTTTGCCAATACCGACCGTTTTCAGTGTCTCCTCCTTGTACTCTTATCAACTGCTTCATATGTGTAGACATATGTTACCCATGAGAGTGTTCACGCTCACCCTTCTTACCGTGATTCTCTTGTCGTTGGCATCACACGTGTGCAGGTCTCTGGTAAACTCAATTACCGTGTGAGTGCTGTTTTCCATGGCGTAGTCTAGGTGGTAATCCTGCTGGGCGTCTTTTTCCAATTCTCTGTTTGCATTTGTGAAGTAGTCCTGTCCAAAAGGGAAAAACAAAGATCAGGATATTCTAAAAGCAGAATGAAAATAATGTAAGAGAATGTAGGGGACATTCCCATGTCCATTCTTGGTTTGTTCATAGTAAAACCCTTTTATCCAAACCCATTTTATGAATCTTGGGACTTTCCAATGGACTGGATTATTATACGTCAAGAGTTGGTTATCTAGGAAACTGGTCAATGTTTACACAATTGGTCCTTTGTGGGAAAAGCAGTAACACTTCACACTGTTCACTGACCGTCATTAATGAATGACTATTTGAGGTCACTGGGTGGATTTCTTCTGGTGTACAAATGAAAAGGGGGAGACCAGCACCATGCCATGGCTTGTCCCCACAAGAGACAGACAGAAGCAAAGCCGGAACCAGCCCCAAGATCAGCACTTTCTACCTGTCTGTTGCTCACAGCATCTCTTCACTCATGAAGTCAGAACACTGAAGGGAGTCACAGGTAATTCCAGTACAAGCTTTAACAGAATATGCTTATTACAATGAAATGCAATGAGAAAATATGCAAAGAAATTAAATCACTAAATCATACTATACTGACCAACTGAAAAAGTTCTAGTTTTGTGGATCATTTCTGGGAGGTGGACAAGAGCAGTATGGGAAGCATGGGCTTAAACCCAGGTGCCTAGAATCTGACCCTCAGCTGTCTTGGTAAATGGCTTTCTAGGATATTAGAGGTCACATTTCCAGATCTTCTATTTGCGCACTAGCAAAATGGGGGTAGCATGTTTTTCTGTTGTAGATTTTTAAGTAGTATGTGACTTACTACACTGGAAAGGATCAAAATAAAGGTGTTCATATTTTGTCACAAAAATACTAAGTTTTATGCACAGTTTGTTTTTCAATATCTAATGTATTTTATTTTTGAAAAAAAATCATACTGTGTTAGAATCTACATACCAGAACATAATTATAATTACTGTAACCAATATTAAATTATGTTTGAAGCATTGGTTGCTGTGCTGGACTCAGAACACACAAGAAAAGTCTTTAACTATATAAGAGATCAACACTTGAGTGACATGTGGCAATTTTATTCTAAGTATACTTTAACATAATTATCAAATGTGTAGGATTTTTACATTCAAGGTCTAGATATTTTTAATACAAGACAGCCTCAGATTACTGACAGCACACAGAGTCTAACTAACCTATCTCTACCCTTGTAATAACAATTACAACCTATATGTATCTTATGCCCCAGGCACTGGTGCAGTGTGGTACTTGTACTCACTCATTCACCATATGTCAAATCGATGAGATGAAACCATTTTTCCATTTGCAAACAACACTGAAGCAATGTATACTGGATAATGCAGTTGGAAATAGGAACAGCAACATTCAGATGCTGTAGCCTGAGCCCACAGTCTGTATCCTTCTTCACTATGGTGACCACTGATGGAATGTGTGTTTTTATTTCTTTTCCCTGCCTGTAGAAACTCATTGCATTAACTTTTACATAAAACATTACCAGTATGTGCTAAAAATGAGGGCTGACCATTTATTCTGAGAACTAGGTTATAAAAGTGAAAGCAATTTAAATAACATATCCTGTGATGACACCTATATGTCTACTGGTTTCTATCATATAGATTTGAATCCTTCAGTGAGATCCCAACACCTATGGAAGGAAGGAATTGGGATCAACTGTGCCTTTACACTCAGGTCATATTTCATTACATTAGCCATACAATTCATTTTATACAAAATGAATACAGTACAAAACATAATGAGTTCAAAGCACAGAATAATTATCCTGATCTTGCAAATGTTTCCCAAACCCATAGTTGCATAAAATATCCAACTTGCTTGCCAAGTTTCCATTCATCTTATTTCTGCTCACCGAGACTAATTCCTACCAGCTACTTTTCTCTGGCTTCTCAGAGAACTTAGCTACAAGAAATTGGGAGAAGCTTCACTTAGCTACTACTCTGGATCTCTTCACTCTTCTGTCATAAATAAGTCAATAAGGACTATTTATGTGTGCATGTACGTATGATGAATTTTGTGGTACTGCATGTTAGGCAAGCATTCTACTATGGAATTATGTCCCCAGGCCTCTTTTTACATTATTTACTTATTTATTTTGCAAAAAAGTTTTACTAAGATGCCAATGCTGACTTTGAATTTGTTCTGTAGCCCAGGATGGAATCTGAGTTTGTAATCCTCCTGCCTCAGCTCCCAAACAGTTGGAATTATAGGTCTATGCAACCATTAATGTTTAGAAAAGTCTGGAGTGGGCACGGTGGCTTTTATCCGTGGGCCCAGCATTCAGAATGAGACAGGAGGATACTTTAGGGAGTTCAGATCTAAATAACATTGTCTAAAACAAGTTGATAATCTCAACATTACTGAACTAAAATATGGCTGAATGTTATTAAAATTAAATTGATATGTAAAATAATCTAACCACCATGGTGATTTTTCCCCTCGTTTTCTCATTTTTTAGGCTTGTTTGGAGACATCTTTGTACCTTAGCTATCCAAAGGGTGTTAGTGTTTATATATTTAGTTTAGATCATCAATGACTGAAGATCTACATGTCTTCAGGCCTCCCAACCAATGGAATCTTTACAAGATGTCAACATTTCTCTACCCTCACCCTATATGTTTTCTGTCATTTAGTGAGAATTTCAGCCATGATACTTGAGGGCTCTTTTCCTACCTTCTTTCTATCCTAGATAATACCAACTCTGCTAAATTATAAAATATACTAAATCTAAAGAAACACATAGAACAGGTGAGATTTAAAAAAATGAATGTAAATGAAATTTAAGGGAAAGGTCAAAGGTCAAACATATTGTGCAAACATTCAAAGTTTATGACATCGTGCACTTCTTAGTGGGAAAATACGGAATCATTTAGACAACATAACTTTCTAGAAGTTGCAAAATTGTCTCGAGCCCGAGGTAACTGCCAAGAAATGGACAACTAATCCTCTTAATCCAATTACATATTTTTTACATTTAAAATAGTCAATTATATTGTCAATGGAACCACGCAAAGGAGATCCAATCAATTAATACATGCTCTCAATTATATCGTTAAGGTCTGGTGTGGAAGATGCTGGAATGGATTTGGATTCACATGATTGACTGTGGAGCCCAGCTTTCTGGGACATTCTGAAACACTGTCATGATCCCTCAGCCCTTATATGAAAAGTATCTTGGGAGACTGAGCTCATGATTTAGGGGAAAAAAAGAGAGAGAAATTACAAGGCAACTACTTAATGCAATGAGGACATTTTAAATAGGAAATAAGAAAAAGGTGCATCTGGTTTGTCTCTTCACTGTAGAGGAAAAACTGAACTTGGTGGGCCACAAGGAAGTGTGTGGACAACCACCAAGCACAGCCTTGATGGTGTTAGCGTCGCACAGCAAAAATGGCACATTGGAAAATCTTCAAGTGCAATTTATTAAGGGGGAGGGGAGAAAAGAGGGCAAAAACTTGTCTCAAATTTCACAACCTTCAAACTTTCTTACTAGGAAAACAAAGGAAAAAGCAAAAGAGAGCAAAGATCAGTGCTGAGAGTTAGATTGGTTAAGCTTTTTTTTTTTTTAAAGGTTTAATGAATTTGTTTCCTGACAGTTTGAGAAAAAAAACAAATTGTTGTTCAGTGGGCTAATCAAAGGGGTGGTATTTTTTTACTATCCTCTAGGGAGAAGAAAATGAAACTGGAACACTAAAACATTAACCAATTGAGAATTCAAATATTAATAAAGTGACCTAGCCATTGGAATTAACAAAATGATACTGTATCATAATTTCGGTATTAAATTCCCCAGTTCATTTCCACTGTATCTTATTTCTGCCTAGATGATTAAGCCAAATGATGCCCTGACCACTCCCTGTTCTACATAGGAAATGGAACCATACACATGTGCATTGCACAGGCAAGAAGAAGGTCGTGACTCAGACCTCTTCCTGCAGTGCATGATAGTCTGGGACTTCAAATAAGAATAGAAATGTGGCTCACAGTGCACAGGCATTTGTCATGGTAGAATGTTGAAGCCATTATAAAACTTATCACCTATGCCGTAAGTGAATTTATTGTAAATATAACAAAATAGTGACACGTAACAGTTCCAATTGAGATTAATTAGAAGCAAGTGGCTCAATTAGTAAGTGCCTGCTGCACAAACGTGAGGTCCTGAGTTCAGATCCCTAGCACTCCTGTAAAAAGCATGCCCCTTTAACTCCACTACCATGGCAGGATGGGTGGGCAGAAATAAGCAGATCCCTGAAGTTCATTGACAAGCCAGCCTAGCAGAATCAATGAGCTGAATCAATTCAGAGAGAGAAAGACTCTGAACAACATTTAAAAAATAATCAAGAAAAGATACCTGATGTCACCTGATGGCCTGTACACCGACTCATATACATACACATCCATACTATGTACACACACACACACACACACACACACACACACACACACACACTTTTTTTAATTCATTAAAGGTGGATCTCATAACACAAGAGAGCCAGAGAGGATAGAAGAAACCATAACTTCACGGGAACTTTAAGAATTTAGGAATAAAAACATGCAGATGTCATTAATAATGCCAACAGAAGCCAAGCTTGGCTGTGCTCAGTCAGTCCTAATGTTCTGCAGAACAAACATGAATTGCCGCTACTCACCTATTTGGTTGCTTTGGGTGGGTCTTCATTGATTCTAACACAGACCCCCCAGCCTGGCTTCTGTACAGACTGTCATTGTTCTGACTGTGGACTATTTCACGGATTACATACTGACCTTGCTTATATTTTCCCAATAAAATATCACCCAGAACCCTCAAAACTGAGTTAATAAACTTCAGTGATGATGATACTGTTTGGCTGTATCAAGGAAAGTTCACCTCCTGAAGCATGTTCTCACAGAGTATTTCCCCCTGGAATGCATTACACTTAAAAAAAAACCCGAAGTGTATAATTGAGGTTTCAAAATGCTGTGGGACAATAATAAAGTA